TAAACGATTTTCAGAAAGATCTTTCTCTCGTCGATGAAGAGATGTGAATTTAGTTATTTCGGGATAAATAAATTTGTTGTTGGTTTTTTTTTCCTTTTTATCTCTGACAAATTTTTCTAAACTCTGCAATTCCAAAAGAAAATTTTATATATCTCGCGAGGAAGCGTAGCGAACAATTGGGACTGATAGTATGCTTTACTATTGCAAAATAATTTCTATGGAACGCAAACTCGATGCTCGAAAAAGAAGAAGAAGAAGAAGGGGGAAAAAAAGTCCGTGGAACGAGCTGCGAGAGAATCGACCGATAGTTTTCTGTGGACACCCGGTACGAAACGGATGATTGCGCCTCGCGAACGCAACAGATCGCTACGTTATTATTTTCGCCAGTTATCGAATTAGATGTTGGCTTAACGGCTACGTACGGCGGGTCCCCTTCCACCCGTTTCATAGGCGTACATACACCGCTCTTCTTTATCGTGTGATAGTAACGAGAGCATCAAACTTTAGAGATCTACTTAATTCAATTCCTCTCAATGATTCGCCTCGATTTCTTTTTTCTCTCTCTCTCTCTTTCTCCTTCGTACGAGAGATCCAATAACAAGATCCGAGAACATTCTTCCTGGATGAGAAGGTACTTTCGAATCAACTGCGTGTGTATCGAATTCCGGGTTCATTCAAAAATTGCTCCTAGTTACTTTTTCCTTATTGTAAAAACTAGCTAGAATTCCCCAAGTCTCGAGATAAAGAACGACCTCGAGGAAAAGATTCTCAAAGATTCGCAAACGAAGGAAGGATCAGAGAAAATTCTTCTAGGACGAATCGTTTCCTGGTGGTTCCACCTAGGCGGAAATTCATCAATCGATGCCGAGATGATCCGGTGCCGGAAGAAAAGGTAGGAATCTATGATCGCGGTCGGCTCACGGCGGACTTTTGCATCGGCTGGACGCGGCTCAATTTCCTGGTCGAGTTGTAAATTATGCCGATTCCAGATCGCACCACGGACGACGCCCATGGCCTCTTCTCTCGCGCAAGATCTTCTCGTCCTCTCCTCTCCCAACGCACGCCTCCTCCTTCTCTGTCATTCCGTCGTCCCAGAATCTTTCCATCGACTTATATACAACCTTCTCTCTCTTTCTCTCTCTCTTTCTCTCTCATACACACACGGACACTTCCCATGATTCCCTTGGATGGCTCCAACCACGAAGATAGGGGCATCCCCGAGATTACGGCTCACTCGTTACTACCTACAACGTACTTACGTTACTTTTAGAACTGCTTATTACTGTGATTACCGGCGCATAATGCGACGACCGAGCGTTCTACAATTTATTATTGAATTGCTATAATACGGGCTCCACGTTCTTATGTGTGTACACGGCGTACGGGAAACGTACGGGCTGCGAAATCTCCGGTCCGATAACCACCCTGTCGTCCCTCCTAAAAAGAGATGAAAATACGCGTTATGTACGCGAAAACTTTTTCCTTCCTTTCTCTCTCTCTCTCTCTCTCTCTTTTTCTTTCCTCTTCCCTATCCTTTTCGCATTTTTTCACATCGCGACCGGGTTAAATAACCCGAGAACCCGAGGAACCGAGACGAGGGTGAACGTAAGAGGTTTCGATAAAGGGAAAGGAAACGGTGTCTCCATTAACGTTTTTTTTCTTTTTCTTTCTTTTTTTTTTTTTTTTTTTTTTTTTTTTTT